ATTGTCATCAACTAGTAAATATAATCAATGATAACACACTGGAAACAGGAAACTTAAGTGTGTCTTGAGATTTCTCATTCAGTTGTCATTGCTAGTAGATGGCATAATTGAATTAACTCCTTTTACTACTGGTTCAGTCTTACATCATGTCTAATATATTTAAGAAATTAGAGGGGATTTGATGTGCTATTGATAATTCTACTTGCTTAGTTCATGTACAAATGTTTTTGAAAGTTCCAGGGATTGCTACTTTTTTGATCCTATTATATTAGGAATGCAGTAGGTAAAATAATTTCAATAGACTGTCTCACATATTCACCCCGTTATGTGTCTGAAATAAGTAAATCATTTTAGAAGAAGTCTACTTTTAATCATCTTCTCCTGCGTCCATCTTTGTTTATTGCTGGTAGGAGTCCGGGGTTTGCCCTCAGAGTGCATTCCAGCAGGTGTTTTCATTTCTTCAGAAGACTCGGCTTAACATGGAGACTTTGCAACGCCTCAGGAAAATTCATGGGGACCTGGAATGTCAGTACTGTGGTAAGATGATGAAATCTCCTGGAGTCAGCTGGTTTTGCTGTGCCCTGTTATTTAATTTATTCATTCTTCATTTTACTCTATATTAAATCTTATTATGTATTACGTATCCTTTCCCCTCTGTGGCCTCAACATTAAACTGTGCCTGCTTCTTCTAATCATGTTTTTCTTACGGCACAGGTAAATTGTTCTGGTACAAAGTCCACTATAACATCCACGTACGCAGACACACCAAGGAGCACTCGTATTACTGTTCAAAGTGCAGCTACTCGTCCATCACCAAAACCTCTTTAATGCGGCACCAGATCCAGAAGCACAGTGGCTTGCTGCTGCCTTGTTCCAGTCCTGGCTGTAAATACACCACACCTGACAAATACAAACTTCAGGCCCATTTGAGGACGCATCAGGGACAGGTGACCAGCCGGACGAGATTCAGAGAATTATAAGGAGTTCATTTTTGATAGACCACTAATACACTTTTCAAGTTAACAGAAGAGAGAAATTCACATTTGTTGACAGCATGATGCTCCTGGTCTCAATAACAATTACACTGGGATTTGCAGGAGGTAGCATATTTGAAGTTTTATTAACCCCCTAGACCTGCCATTGTTCTACCACGGTTTTGTCTTAGTGTCTTGCTGTTATTTTCCAGGAGAATAGTTTGGCCTGTCCTGTCTGCCAGCACAGCTATCCAGAGCACAGACTGAAACACCACATCAAAACATCCCACCCTGGTAAAGAACACACAGATGTATCTACAGACACAGAGAAAAGAACACACACTAACCACTGAACTTATCCTGACACATAACCTTTGCTCACTCTCCACTGTTGTCTTAGGTGGAATCTTTGCACAGAACCAGGAAATGTCATCTTAGCTATTTTTACTTGCTCTGTTGTTGGCACATTGCTTCTAATTTTGCAGTGTGTCATCCTCTGTTTACACTATTAGGCAAACCACTGTAAAGATATAATATTCTATTTGGGCATTATTGTGTATTTAGTACAACCTAAACCTTTTACAAGGTTGTGATTTCCTCATGTGTGTGTACTGTATGTATGTACAGACACACTACCTGTGCAGGGTAAAGGACTGATGTTGCAGCGCGCAGAGAAGTGCCCTTATTGTGACTCCTACTTTCTAAAGAACAGTGAATTTCAGCAGCACATCTGGGCCCACCAAGGTGTGATACTCTTCTACCTTTATTACAACCAAACACACACACAACATGATTCTGGAACCACATACTGTATCTGGGTCCATCAGTGTTCATGTACAGCTCACTTTGAGCTGTCTCTCTCCTCCCTGGCTGCTTTACATGTGGAGGGGCTAAACATAAAACACACTGGAGATGCTGCTCAAGAAAATTAGCCTGTATGTCAAATTACTTAAGAAACAATGAGGACATAAACAAACAAACTCATTTGTGTGTGCTGCTGCTGGTGTTATCTCAGAGATAAAAAAAAAAATAGAAATCTGGCAGTGAAGCCTGGCAGAAGATATGTTATTTAAATTCACATAATTTGATTACTCTTCTAAAATGCACACTGAAGAAGGCATAGGTGAAATATCTGTGCTGATGTGCGACAGTTGGAACTAAACATTTCAGTGATTTGGTTGTGAAAACCATATTTTTGTGCTTTGGATTACAATTCTAACCATATTGTTTATCAAACGGTCTGTCCTCTTATTGTGCACAATACACCAAGTTGCCCCCAACTTTCTCAACATTTATATCCCCTCACTCTTAAAAAAAGTTAGATTTTTCATGATTTTGTTGTTTGTGATTCTCAAATTTTTGCCATTACTGGCTCCATCTGGTGACCTGTTAAGTATGTGTTTCTGAATGTGTGCCTATGTTCATAGGTTTGAAGCCATATGTCTGCAGTGTGTGTGACTATGCAGGACGCACTAGGAGTAACCTGAAGACTCATATGAACCGACACAACACAGAGAGACATTATCTCTGTGATCTGTGCGGTAAAAAGTTCAAATCTAAAGTAACGCTGAAAAGCCACAGGCTTAGCCACACCAGTGAAGGTACAGTATGTACATTCTGCTGCTTTGTGTGTGTGTGTTGGTTAACAGGACTACGGATAAATGGCAGGATGGATCATCAGCATACTTGGTACAGACATTGGTGGAGACCAACTCTAGAAGTGATTAGAGTTTGGCTGAAAAAGGTCAAAGGTCAAGGTCACAAAAAATAATCTTTAACATGGGGCAAAATTTGAACAAAAAAATTCACGTCTCCGTCAGAAGTTATCAAAATCATTTTTTGTTTGAAAGTTGACACACATATGTAGGGTGGCAGTGTCTGTCACCAGAACAGGTTTCGTCTGGATCTGATCCAGATTCTCGATCTGACGCATAATTTCTGCTGTAACTTGGCCTGTAATGAAGATAGAACCCTAAAATGTTCTGGTAAGATGCACAGTATAACTGCCTATCATACCCTAAAAGACAATCAGGAGCTGATCCAGATCAAGGATTTTAGGACACATTTTGTGTTCAGGATCTCATTTTTCACAAAGGATCCATTTCCATGAGCGAATGTTGTCTCTGAGTGCTCTTGTTGTTTATATACTCATTATTATTGTCATGTCCGAATTTATTATGTTACAACTATTCTGTATGCAAGAAGAGAAAAGTGATGATAAAAATAAAGTATTTTGTTTTTCTCCAGGTAAGCGGTTTCACTGTTCAGAGTGTGACTTCACCTCAGTCTCCAAGCCGTCCTTGCTCAGACACATGGAGCAACACGCAGAATATAAGGTTAGAAATCACATGCAAGTATGCATTTGGCTCACAACTTCAGTATGTACAAATTCAGTTGTATGACAAAATATCAACAGGAAAGAATTCCCTTAAACCCCCCCAAATATCACTAGTAGCTGAGAATCATTTTCAGTTTTATTCTCTAAAGACTCAGTGTAAAAATCACTTTTTAATAAATTTTGGGAGCATCATAGACAGATGCTACAGATTTAACAATGCAAAATCTAGTCTTTATAGCAATTGTACAGTAGCTATTTGTAAAAATTATTAATTAAAAAGACATTTTGCTATTGTATTACCACACAAAAATCCAGTGCTATTTTATTTTATTTTCTGTCTTTTCTTACAGATATTCATTTGCATTAACGTGTGTGTTTGTGTTTCTGTCCCTGCAGCCATTTCATTGTGCCCACTGCCACTACTCCTGTAACACTTCTGGTCCTCTGAAGCGTCACTACAACTTGAAACACCCAAATGAGAAATATGAGAATGCTGGACCTGGACTGTCTGGTGCTCTGAAACAGCAAGGTCTGATCTCTGCTCTGCCACCGTCATGTGCATGATCATGTAACATTTTACTGCCGTAGGGCATTTACAGTTTATAAAATATTATTATGGTTTGTGAACACTCTCAGCAATGTGTCTCCAGTTGATGCCAAAAATAGTTTATTATTACTTATAGGGTATAGGGGGGAAAGCACCTGACTCGCTGTAATAGCAGTATGATATTAGACGTAATCTGTGTGTAGTTACTTTAAAATGATTCATATTAATCACTTTTTTTTCCTCATGAGTGTGTTCACCATAACCTAACACAGCTGTGTGTGTGTGTGTGTGTGTGTGTGTGTGTGTGTGTGTGTGTGTGTGTGTGTGTGTGTTGGAGGTGTGGTGTTCTCTCATAGAGTT